CTGCCCAGCTAACCTAAAACCTGAGATAATAATAATTAGTTAATAATGGTCATAATTTTACCTTAGTTTTATATTATGCAAATCATTCTGAAGGGGCTTTCTCACAAAACAAACAAGAGAGCATTTCCAAAAGTACAAAGTACTGTAAAAGCACAAGCACAGATTATTGTTGTGTTGTCTTTTCCACCTGAGCCTTACAAGCTCCCTGTAAAGATGATAGAGCAGATCTCATTCGAGTTTTACAGATGAGGAATAAACCCAAGAGGACCACCAATTTCAGCAGAGTGTAATTATTGCTATGTTAGAGGTACTACCAGTTGCTGTCAAGTCTACTCCAACTCCTGGCAACCCCATATATGTCAGAGTAGAACTGTGCTCCATAATTGTTTTTTTAAAAAATTTTATTGGTTTTAGGTGAAAGTTCACGGTGTAAATTAGTTTCTCATTCAAAAGTTTATACATGGATCATTTTGTGACTTTGGTTGCAATCCCTGCAATGTGTCAGCACTCTCCCCCTTTCCCTTTCTCTTTCCACCCTGGGCTCTTCATGTCCTTTCGTCCCGTTTTCCTGTCCCTTCTGCCTTCTCGTCTTTGCTTTTGGGCAGGGGTTGCCCATCTGGTCTCCTATACTGGATTGAACTAAGAAGCACGTTCCTCACGTGTGTTAGTGTTTGTTTCATAGACCTGTCCAATCTTCGGCTGAAAGGCGAGCTTTGGAAGTGGATTCAATTCTGAGTTAGCAGGATGTCTGGGGGCCATAATCTCGAGGGTTCCTCCAGTCTCTGTCAGACCAGTAAGTCTGGTCTTTTTTTGTGAATTTGCATTTTGTTCAACATTTTTCTCACAAGGCTCTGCCCAGAACCCTCTATCGTGATCCCTGTCAGAGTGGTTGGTAGTGATAGCTGGGCACTGTCTAGTTCTTCTGGGGTCAGGCTGGTGGAGGCTGTGGTTTATTTGGTCATTAGTCCTTTGGACTAATATTTTCCTCGTGTCTTTGGTTTTCTTCATTCTCCTTTGCTCCAGACAGGATGGGACCAATAGATGTATTTTAGATGGCCACTTGCAAGCTTTTAAGATCCTAGACGCTACTCAACAAAGTTTGGATGTAGAAAGTTTTCTCTATGAACTGTGTTATGCCAATTGACCTAGATGTCCCCCGAGACTATGGTCCCCAGCCCTCAGCCCCAGTAACTAGGGCCCTCAAGGTGTTTGGACGTGTCTAGGAAGCTTCTTTGACTTTGCCTTGGTTAAGCTGTGCTGACTTCCCCTATATTGCGTGTTGTCTTTCCCTTCACCAAAGTTAACACTTGTCTACTATCTAGTTAGCCCTGAGGCGAGCAGCCTAACATGGTCCAGTGGGTGGCCCCACTCATGTAGCTATCTGAACTCTATTGTATTGAGACATCTATAATTGGGCCTCCCCTGCTGGTTAGCCACTTGTGAAATACACCTGGAGACTTGCTTTTATTTTCACCCTTTTGGGGTGAATTTCTCCCTTAAAAAATATTCCACTGAAGTCAAGCCAACTGACCTTACACATTGACGACGTGACCCATGCCAGTTCTGTAGTAGGCACATGTGACACTTTCTGAAGATAATCTGTCATGTCTATATAGGGTATTGCTCTAACCTGGACTAGCATTCCTCCTCCCTCCAACTCCTCCCAGCTCCATATTTGGCGATCTGCTGAAGGCTATGCATTTCATCAAGGTTTAGCATCCATCTTTACTGCTACAGAATGATGCTGTGGTTTACGTTCTTGTATTCACTGTAGCTGGTAATAAAAGTTCTTCCTTTGGTTTATGTTTTAATAGAACCACAGAGAAAGCTAATCCTGTCTAACCATAGATTAGCTTTTTTTAGTTTGGGAAACCAAGGCCCTGAGAGCCGACTTGATGTGCCTCCTAATGTCAGAACTGGGAGGTGTGTGAGGTCACTTGACTGAACAGAGCTTTCTCTCTGGTCTGACTCTTTGGAGCTCTCTGGCTGGCAAAGCCCAGAAAAGAGTTTCTTTGCTTGCATCAAATTTTTGTTTTTATGCTACAAGAAGAACTCCTGTATTTGCTATTATGAGACTTTTTAAAAAATATATTCCTGGCTAGGTATAAGATACACAGAGCACACTTTGCTAGAGAAATGTCTTTAGTGCTACTTTAAATTCCCCACTTATAACTAATACTTGTTTATTATTTCAGTTAATAATTGTTATTTAACAATGTTATTAATAATAAAGAGTATCTCAGGTTTACTATGTGCCAAGGATCCGTGGTGGTGCAGTGGTTAATCACTCGGCTGCGGAAGTTTGGTTGTTCGAACTCACCAGGCGCTCCACAGGAGAAAGATGTGGCAGTCTGCTTCTATAAAGATTATGGCCTTGGAAACCCTGTAGGGCAGTTCTACTCTGTCCTATAGTTCTATTCTGTCCTTGCTATGAGTCAAATCGATTGCAACGGGTCTGGTTTTCAACAGGTTACTGTATGCCAGGCACTATGCTAAACGTTTTATACATTTTAGCACATTTAATACTGTCAACAACCTTGTGACATAGGTATTTTTACATTGATGTTTCGGAGGAGCAAACTGAGGCTCAGGGAAGTAGGGCACACAGGTAAGCGTTCGGGCAGCCAGGATTCAACTTCAGGTCTACTAGACTTTGAAGCCTGTGTTCTTAACAATTATGTCTCACCAGCTTCCTTTTGCAGATAATCACTCAGGAAATTTGGCTTTTATTCAATTGCTTTATAGAGAGATTCCATTTAAATACCCAAAAGCCCGGTATATGCACATTTTTCGTAGTTCTGGTTCTGCTGCTTTGGGGTCAAAATAAAACTTAAAAATGTCTTTGAAGTTCTTGGCTCTGGACTAAGTAATGAGGGGGTCACAAATGCATGTATTTAAGTCATCCCTAAGTCTGAGGAAAGACAGCCTAACTGGGACCTGACAGAGCCCCAAGGGGAACTTATTTCCTCAAAGGTCTGGTGACAAATAGGTGTCTAGGACCATCGTGGCCGAGAGTGATCCAACTTGTGATTTCAGATAGGTTCCAGCTGAGTATCTGACACTCCAGCCCCTGTGCTATGGACAGTTCATATATGGTATTTTAAATGTATAGAATGAAACAGATAACATGATTATAGTTCCCACATGCCAGGTTCTGTGCTAAGCAAGACTCTCCTTAAATTGAATCTTCATAATAATCACATGAAAGATGTGCTTTTCTCATTTTCATTTTTTGAGGAAACCAAGACTCAGAGAGGTTAAGTAATTTTGTCAAGGTTACCCAGCTTCCGTGTGTTTAAAAAAACGAATCCATGAAAATCATGTGAATTCTTTATTTGATTAACTCATTTGCAAAAGCTAATGGGTGGTTCAGTTGTAGAATTCTTACCTTCAGTGCAGGAGACCTGGGTTCAATTGCTGGCCAATGTACTTCATGCGCAGCTACCGCCCATCTGTCAAGGGAGGCTTTCGTGTTGCTATGATGCTGAACAAGTTTCAGTGGAGCCTCTAGACTAAGATGGACTAGGAAGAAAGGCTTAGTAATCCACTTTCAAAAAATCAGCCAATGAAGACTCTTTGGTTCACAACAGTCCAATCTGCAATTTATCATGGGGATGGCGCAGGACCAAGCAGTGTTTCGTTCCATGGTGCATGGGGTCATCATGAGTCAGGGGCCAACTCAAAGGCAGCTAACAACGACAACACTGTGTAAATTAAACAGAGACTGTGGGTTGACAAGGATAGGTATGTCTTGGAAGGGAATGTCAGGACTGATTTTTAAAAATTATGCCTTGAAGCCGAGTTATAGGTCTGCTTCACATTGCTCTACGTGTGGTATGTCAGGAAGATCCTCAACGGGGGAGACGATAAGCTGTTAAAACTGAACAACTCCCCCGTAGCCTGGACAACGCTCCAAAACTTCTGAGTGTCTTATCATTAAACATACCCCTGCAAACCAACCTCATTAATCCCTCAAGAATGCCCCTTCTTGTTTTCCCAAGGATCTTACTCACTTTGAAGTAACAGATGGTAGATGTTTAACCTAGAAGTTTCTTTTTTCCCAAGACCTGTATCTCTAGAAGCTTGTGTATTCCATGTGACTTGTTCTGCGCTAGTGTCTAACCATCAAAGAACCAACTGTACATTCTTTCTTTTATCACAAGATTGTAAATGGCATATAAGCAAAAAACCGATTTGCGATGGTCACAGCAGTCTGCCTTAGAACTGACTGCCCGTTTGCAAACATCTCTCTTTCTCTCTCACTCTTAATAAATAGTTGATCTCTTTAGTTGTCAAAGTCTTATTGTTTTCAACGAAGCCCAGATTGTGTTAAAAACCTTTAGTCTGAATTTTGGTCTGAAAGACGTTTCCTTTGCCTGAAGCTGGGTTGGCCTCTCCCCAAAGCTGATCTCATCGTCTGGAGCTCTCTCACCTTCAGTGAATGAGAATTTATTTGACCTTTTCATGAAATTCAGATTTTGCCGACAATTATTCAACACTGCACCATCCTTGTTTACGTGACTGGCACTGAATTTGTTTGCTTTCAAGCCTATAGTTTTGTTTCACAGGGACCTAGCAGAGTCCCTGATCCATAGGTGGCCATCTCCAAACAGTGAAAAATAGAAAGAATTTAATCCTTGCAACAACTCTGAGAAGTGGTCCCTAAATTTATCACTATCTTGCAGATGTGTAAACCGAGGCTCGGAGATAAACTGCTCAAAGCCATAAGTAATGGGGCCTGATTTCAGATGCAGAAAACTCTAAGGACCACGCCCTTTCTCTTATATCTCTAGTCATCTGTCCAGTTTCCTGGAAATATTGATATTTTAGAGTTTGGGAAAATCTCAAGGGGAAAATTATAGCAAACTTTTACAGGTCTGGTGATTTCTTTTCTCCTTCCTCAACACGTATTCCCACATAAACCAAAGGCTGGGTGATTAATCGGTGAAGGAAGGGCATGTTGTAGTATCTGCCATTCATTACATTTCTCTTTCTTGCAGTCCCCAAGGTGGCTGGAATCCATCAGAGACTGAATAGACTGTGAGCACTCTCAGCTGCTTTCTCCCCTTGTCGGAACAGAAGCCAACACACACCAGGTTGCTATTGAGGTCTTTTTCATGTTGCAATTAGAGAGGTTGCTTGTGCGTGTGTGTGTTTATCGCTAGGCTGATTTTAGAGATAAAATCACCTTCCGCTTCTTGACCGGGTGTAGTAGTGGTGTGTGTTCTTGGGGATAACAGATCCAAATTTTCTTTGCCAAGGGGAAGGGAACTTGACTCTTAGGTGCGCTTAGGGGGAGTGGTTACACTGTGATGGGGCCCACATTTAATCAGTTTGCCCATGAGGAAACCCCCTGACGGCAAAAAAGGAAAAAAAAAAATAAGTGCTCAATTTTTTTCCCTTTCTCTTTTGGTCCCAGCTGAAGACAAGGCTTTGGAGGTTTTTAAAGTAGCCTGTGCTTCTTCCTTGGACGGACGGGGACAAGTAAAATTTTACAAAGTGCTATCAGAGGCCCTGAGAACACAAACACATCTGGTTTTCGTTCCCTTGCTGAATGGCGTTTGCTGGAGCAGCCCACTGAGGGCTCTTTTCCTCAGGATTCTGTACTTATAACAAGGAAATCAGCCTGGAAAGATGCTGAGTTCTATCAAGTGTGTGCTGGTGGGAGACTCTGCTGTTGGCAAAACCTCTCTGTTGGTGCGCTTCACCTCAGAGACCTTCCCAGAGGCCTACAAGCCCACAGTGTATGAGAACACAGGAGTGGACGTCTTCATGGATGGCATCCAGATCAGCCTGGGCCTCTGGGACACAGCCGGCAATGATGCTTTCAGAAGCATACGCCCTCTGTCCTACCAGCAGGCAGATGTGGTGCTGATGTGCTACTCAGTGGCCAACCATAACTCTTTCCAGAACTTGAAGAACAAGTGGATTGGTGAAATCAGGAGCAACTTGCCCTGTACCCCTGTGCTGGTGGTAGCCACCCAGACTGACCAGCGAGAGATGGGGCCCCACCGGGCCTCCTGCATCAATGCCATAGACGGAAAGAAACTGGCCCAGGATGTGAGAGCAAAGGGCTACCTGGAGTGTTCAGCCCTCAGCAACCGGGGAGTGCAGCAGGTATTTGAGTGTGCTGTCCGAACTGCCGTCAACCAAGCCAGGAGGCGCAACAGAAGGAGGTTCTTCTCCATCAATGAGTGCAAGATCTTCTAAACCCCAGACAGACCCAACACTCATTTACTCACCCAGAGACTAATGGGTAAAGAGAGAGTAGGCAAACCTGGAAGAGTTGATACTCTTTCTGTATACATCTTGAGCAGTGTTTCCTCTTGGGCACAGTTGTTGATGAGACTCGGCCTCTGAATAAATTCTACAAAAATCAACTCCTTGCCCAGTCCAATAAAAAATTCCATGGTAAGCTGTAATGATTATTTCATTTTTATTAAAAAAAATTAAAATGAAGGTCGCCCATGTCCCTTTAATTTTAGACAATGAAATGAATTTTGCAAAGAACTTCATATTTAAAGACACATTTTATTTAAATATTAACAAAGTGCATAGCTCTTGTATATAATTAGGTTTGGAAAGTCTTTTCCTATGTGCTTACAAACACAAATTCCTGATGAGTAAAATGACCTTATGGGGCTCTGCCACATGTTTATAGCGTTATTATTGTCTCCTGAATTGCTAGTAATTTTATCGAAACCACTTGTCTGGATTTTACTAGGTAATCAAATTTTTAAAATACCATAAACTGATCCTTTTGGTTAATTTTCCATCTACCTATCTTATTTAAAGCTGTAAATAAAAATATAATTCAATAACATATTTTATTACTGCCTGATGATTTGCATATATGTATATCATTAGGCAGTATTAAAAATGTTATTGAATTATATTTTTAATACTGTCTAATGATTTAAATTTAAATCGGAATCCCTATGGCTGCTAACCAAAAGATTGGCAGTTCGAATCCACCAGCAGCTCCTTGGAAACACAATGGGGCAGTTCTACTCTGTCCTATAGGGTCGCTATGAGTCGGCATTGACTCGACTGCAACAAATTTTTGGGATGATTTGAAAATTATCACCTATATTTCTCTATAATTATAAAAATCTTTTAAAAAATTTACTGTATTACCTTTCACCCAAAGAACTCCAATTATACACTAAATAGACCTATCTCACTCACCAAGAAAGACTGAAAGAAAACCTTTCAGGTGGCGAATCAGATTGCTCCAAGTAATAGCCGTAGAACCTGGGACAGAACCCAGGAAGCCCATGTTCATGTCAGGAACTACTGCACTTTGCTCGTTTCCTCTGCCACTGTGGTTCCTATCTGGCTGCAGGTCTAGTGAAAGAGAGCAGACTCAAAGTTCCGTGTGACAGTAATTTAGCAAACTCTTTCTCGTTTGAGCTCTAAATTCAGCTGGCACGCAACAGAATTTATTAATTTTAGTATCTAAACAGAATAATTAAGGTTTCTAATATATGTATATGTAAGGGGGGAAAAGGTGGAATTTTTAGCTTTTACTACTTCATGAATATGGAGCACCTGAGTGAAAAGTCACAAATTAGTGGGATGGAATACAGACACAAGGAACAGGAAAGCTGTGTAGCAGTTGCTCAGATACTCGATAAAAAGCTATCAGGGAAATACTGGATAAATAGGGACATACACACACACACACACACACAGACACCAAGCCCTGCTCTATCTAATAGCTTAAAAGCAATGCTCCTGCTAATCTGTTAAAGTTGGAACACAAGTTTGTGTAATTTGAGGAAGAATTTGTGAAGGCTGGCACACAGATGAATCATTTGCTGCTGTAATCAAATAAAACTCACAACCCTTCTGAATCACATTTGTTAAAATAGTTATGATGCATGGCCATTACACCCAATGGTAAGGAAGCTGGCGTTAATGACTATGATTAGAATTATGTATGACATCACCAAACCAATTTTTCAGTTTCTCTGTATGGTTAATTCTTTATAGCTATAATTACTGTCAAAAATCAACATTGTGTTCCTCTTCCACATAGCTTTCTCCTTCTTCTCTCATCTCATCCACATCCAGTAAAAAGCCAGGGAACTGGATCTCAGTCTCCATGGCTGATGTCCCCTCAATTCCTTGGGACTGACATGTCTGTCTTCACCATGACATCTTTACACCTCCAGTCCTGTGGCTTGTCCTTGACCCTATGTCACCCATGTCCCTGTACTTAAGAGTACCTATATCCAGCTCTCTGCACTGGGTCTTCTGAGCATTGGAGAGCTTAAAGTCTGACCAGGCAGGGGCGGAGGTGGGCAGCCCATATCCCCTGGTATCCCTGCTGATCCTTCTCCCTCTCCCTATCACAAAAACATTCAACTAACTAATGCAGAGTTTCCTTCAGGGCCAAGTTTGTGGGGAGTGAGAGGGCTATTTAATATTTAATATGTTAGTAAGAATGAATTTCTAGTCACTAAAATTGGCTGCCCCCAAAGCTTTTCTTTCCTTCTTGTTGAAGGGAGATGGGAGGAGGGGGTGTCTGAAGGTGGGAAGGAACCAGGTACCAGATTCTAACTGGGAGAGGAGGAGATGTTTCTATGGTGGAAGGGGAGGAGCTGAAGGGAAAGCAGAGAGGACAAAATCAAACAATACAGACTCCATGGCTTTGTCATTACCTGGGCAAGGACACACAAGATGAGACCTCTGCCTCTTGGCAGGAGCCAAGCTTAAAGATTTCCTCTAGGAACCGTCACACCTCAGAGCAGGGAATTTTTGTGTAAACCCTCCCCAGTGATAGGACCTGGAGGAAATTAAGGTTAATCAGCATCTTTCTTTCTTACTAGACCAGATCCTTGAAGACATAAAAAAACAAAAACAAAAAACAATACTGAGTTGCCATCAAGTCAACTTCAGCTCATGAGGACTCCATATGTGTCAGAGTAGAACTGTGCTCCATAGGGTTTTCAGTTTTGGGAAGTAGATAGCCAGGCCTTTCTTAGTTGCCTCTGGGTGGACTCAAACTACCAAGCCAAACTTACTAACTTTTGCACACCCAGGGAGTCCTCTTGATGGCATTCATCTCAGTGTCTCAGGGCTTAGCACTGGGAAGGGATAGGAGCTGAACAAAAGTCTGTTGAACTAAACTGAAGAGAAAAAGACAGGAATTGTGCGGCTGTGCCACCTAAGTGGTTATGGGAAAGAAACAGATTCTAGCCAACCTCGCAGGAGTGAAATTAGGTCATTTGGTGGAATCCATGTAATCACTGTGGTTTAGAAGTGTGTTCTACATGCATGTATATTTATTTTTGTCTGCCTAGACTCAGGCATATTCTTATACTTCAAAAGTCTTGGTACCTTTTTGTGGACTATATTATATGTCGATTCTTTTTTTTTCCCAAGGGAGTAATTTATTTAACAATGAGCAATCCAAATAATGTTCTGGTTCGTGCTTTTTTTCTTAATAAAACAAATACTTTTCTAATAAATTTGCATGGATATATTGTGCAATTAGTAAAAATAACCCATATATAAAAATTCTAGACCATCCATTCAAGTAATGGATCATAAAAGTCTTTCACTGAATTTTAAAGACATTCATCTGTAATTTCTCCTTAAGCCCAAGTTTGGCGGTTAAAGTGGCTGAAGCACTGAGGTTTCTTATTTCAAATACGATTTTTTTTTTTTTGGCCAGTACACATATTGTTTTATGACATTGGTTAACAACCCCACGACATGTCAACACTCTCCCTTCTCAACCTTTTTTTTTT